TCTGCCTAAATTTATATTCTAATTTTGCCCAAATTTATACTCTATTTTTACAAAATTCAAATTCTGCCCAAATTAAATCTTAATTCTGCCAAAATTTTTACCTTAATTTTGCCCAAATTTACATTCCAATTCAGCCTAAATTAAACCCTAGTTTAGCCAAAATTTATAATTCAATTATAAATTTGGGCAGAATCCTAGGAGGAATAATAATTGTAATAGTATTATTAATAATATTTTTAACGAAAATTTTGGGGCTCTAACAAAAAAATTTCTTGCATATATCTAATGCCTAGATAAAACCCCAAATAATACAAAAAGTGCAGAAAAGGGGAATAAATTAAACGAATCGGTAAATAATAATATATAATCGGTTTTCCATATAATGATCAGGGGATCTTTAACACAGAATTTCGCAAGGAAAACTTTTTGTTAGTACGCAGAAGGCAGTTTCATAGGCAGAATGTTGAGCTATGAACGATTTTTTGGATTGGTTTGATTTTCACGTTTCTTCTACATTATACCTGATCTTGAAATCTGATTGGCCAGTGAAATTTTTTAGATAGGTCTGTAAAATTATTTTTGATGGCCACCCTGGATGATTCGGATTTTAACGATTTTAGATTTGTTAAAATCGTCTTATTGAGACAGTTAAATCATCTAAAATGGACTAGTGGATCAAAAGTTATTAATAATTCAAAAAATCAGCCCATATGTATAATCAATTTTCCTGCTGATATACAGTAGCCTCCTACAGGAGGACATGTCCGCCAATCTTTATTAATGTTTCATAATATATATACACAATAATGTGTATGTTTGTAAAAGAATATGTCTTATTTAATAAAATGTTTTATTTATAAAAAAAAATATTAAAAAACCTTTGACAAAAAGAAAATAAAAATAATAAAAAATAGTTGTTTAGTTTATACGATAATGTTTAATTTCAAGATTGTTTAATACTTTCATGCTTTGTTTTTTGGCTTTGTAGACTTGGAGTAGTACTTGACGTCGTAGTTGCTGGTGAGATTTATGGTGAATCCTCCATTGACATTTTGTAGCTCTTTTCCTTGAGTGGTATTGAAACATGTCACGTTTCTAGGAACAGGGATTGTTTGCAAGGTGTTTCAATCGACAAATATGATGGTCGTTTTGAAGGTGTGAGGGTCGTTATCTGGACCGATAGGTTGCGGGAGGATGTCAGCTGATAATGTGTAATTCTCAAACTCGACATTTAAGCTTTCGTTTTGTTGAAAACTCACATAATATTGGTTTGATGATGATGATACGTCATGGATGTCGACTGTTACATGTGCTTGGGCAGAATCATCAGGGATACCGGCTATCGTTCGAAGAAATTTTGGTTTTTCAAAAGGTATTTTCACTGACGATTGTCGTAAATAACCCTCGAAAATCACCCAAAGAAGATTAATTCCAATAACCAAACTGGCAAATTCTTTTTTTGAGTTGATAATGATCACAATAAGATAGCAACATGGCGTAAACATTAGCGCAAACCCACGGAAAAGTGGTGTAATGTATTTATTTGTCAGTGATTTGAATGATTGGATGATTTCTTGTAATTCATTACGTAATTTTTTGACTTGATTTATGAAAGAGCTAGTTTCACAACTTTTGTCTATGAGTATTTTATTTGGGTCAAAGTATTCAACTTTAAATTTTGTTCTGAATACTTTCTTTAGAAGTGGAAAAGTGTTTCCAATAAAACTAAAACTTAAGCCGCCTCCACCAAAAATCCATTTGAGATTAATATGTTTTGGAATCATAAAATTAGTAATGTGTACGAAAAGAATTAAACCAAGAAATATATTGAAAATCGCAATTGATAAATAAAGTTTATTTGAATTATTTTTTGATTCGAATTTGTTTATACATTTTTCAAAGATAGTTTTTAGTAAAAATATTTCGAATTTGATTGATGAAGTGGAGACCATTGTTGATTCAACTGAATTATTTTCATAAACTTATTGATTAAATACGTGAATTAAATGTGAAATAATCGTACTGACAACAAAAGATAGATTGTTTCCCTGCAGGAATTAAAATATTAAGTACGAATTAGAATAACGAATGTAAAATAGAAAGTGTTAAAAGGTTAAGAAGAAGGGATAATTAATTACTCGTAAATAGAATAATCGAAAAAATGGCATTATTAAATTATTCTGAGCACATGGATAGATCATTTAATTATTTTGATGTCTCAATTAAACGTAGAGATGCATACTCCTATCTTGAAAATAATTTAATATAGATTTCTTTAAATAATCTTGAACTCGTTCCATTCTATTTTTACTTTTGTTCTGTATTTTAATTCGTGCGAACAGTACATAATTAATTCGCGCAAGAATACAGAAATATAACTTTTATAAAAATAATCTTTATCAAATTAACTAATCTCGTTGCATATCTCGTTCGCAATAGGGTTAGACCGACGTTAAATGACGGGTTAGATTTTTTGATATTTAATAGGTGCGGACATTTGCCAAGCCAAGGTTAATTACCTCCATGTCAAACGTCACGGCCATACGTCACATTTTTGACGTGACGTATATAGTGCCTAGAGGTGCAGACATTTATCAGGTTGAGGATTCATACATTAACAGTTTCGTAATAATGACATTAATCAAATATATTAGCCAGTCTGACAAAAAACATAGAAATTTTGTCTATAAACAACATGATTCATATATATATAAAATTAACGCTACTGGCAGAATTCGAATGTAAAATTAGAGGCAGAATTGGGGGTTTAATTTAGGCGAAATTTGAATATAAATTTGTAGCTTAATTTGGGCAGAATTCGAATGCAAAATTAAAGTATAAATTTTTGGCAGAATTAGGGTTTAATTTGGGCAG